TAGAAGTTATTATAATAGAAAATATGATAGTGCAAATGAAACAAAACCAAAGCTAGTTCTTCGAAAAGACTAATATAATTGACAGTCTCCTACCAAAGTTAAGGAGAAAAGAGAAAAGGTGCAAATAACCAATATAAGAAATAAAATGGCAATATAGCTACAAATCCTTTAGATATTAAAGTGATTAGAGGATTTTAGGAAAAACTTTATGGCAAAATAATTTGAAAAATTAGAAAGGGACAAATGCCTAGAAAAGACACAAATTACTTGAGGAAAAGTCTTAATAGTTCTATAACTATTACAAAAATTGAACCCACAATTTAAAGAATCTCATAAAGAAAATGTCTTGTGCAGAAAGCTTCATCATTGAATTCTTCCAAATATTTAAGGAAAAGAATAACACAAATCTTATACATATTCTTTCAGGGATTAGAAAGAGAGCAAAGACTTCCCCCTCATTTTATGAGACCAACATAACCTTGCTAGCAGTCACTAATAAGGACACCAACAAAGGATAATTTCAGACAAACAGAATCCAGAAATAAGTAAAAAGGATAATACGTCATGCCCAAGATGATTTAATTTCAGGAATTTTAGGGTTAACACTTGATAATTTCATCAATGTAACTGACCAAATTAACAGAATATAGGAGAAAAATCAAGATTTTCTCAGCAGATTAAGAAAGCCAAGTTATCAAAATTCAATACCTTGGCAAATTAGAAACAGAAAAGGAATTCCTTAAACTGATAATGAGTATCTACTAAAAATGTATAAAAATCTGACTTGTTAGTAAAATATTGAGTGCTTTACCACCACTTTTATTCAAGGTTAAGCTGGAAGGTTTTTTTGTTTTTTGTTTAAAAACAATTTTTTTTGAGGAAGTTTAGCCCTGAGCTAACATTTGCCGCCAATCCTCCTCTTTTTGCTGAGGAAGACTGGCCCTGAGCTAACATCTGTGCCCATCCTCCTCTATCTTATATGTGGGATACCTGCCACAGCATGGCTTGATAAGCGGTGCCATAGCTCCACACCTGGGATCCAGGCCGGTGAACCCCAGGCCATCGCCAAAGCAGACCTCATGAACTTAACTGCTACTCCACCAGGCCAGCTGCTAAACTAGAAATTTTAATCAGTGCAATAAGAAGAGAAAAACAAATTTTAAAAAGAGATGTAAGGATTAGAAAGGATATATAGAAAATCCAAATAATCTAATGATATGCCATTAGAATTATATGTGAATTTAACAAGGTCTGTAGATAAAAATTCAATATGGCTAAAAAGAAATGAGCTATCAAACCATGAAAAGACATGGAGGGACCTTAAATCCATGTTACTAAGTGAACGAAGCCAATCTGAAAAGTCTGGGTACTATATGATTCCAACTATGTGGCATTCTGGAAAAGGGAAAACTATGGAAACAGTAAAAAGATCAATGTTTTCCTGCTGTTAGAGGGGAGGGAGGGATGCATAGATGTAGCACAAGGGATTTTTAGGGCAGTGAAACTACTCTGTATGATATTATAATGGTGGATACATGCCATTACCCATTTGTCAAAACCCATACAAGAGAGAGAGAGCCCTAATGTTAACTATGGACTTTCTGTCAAGGCAGGTTCATCAATTGCAACAAATGTACCATTCTGGTGTGGGATTTTTATAGTTGGGGAGGCTGTGCCTGTATAGGGGCACAGAGTATATTGAAACTCTGTACTTTCTGCTCAATTTTGCTATAAACTTAAAAATACTCAAAAAAATAAAGTCTATTTTGAAATTTCAATAGAAAAATCAACTATATTTCCAGTATGCAAGATATTAACAAGGAATATAGGAGGACAATCAAACATCAAATAAAATTAAAGATCTGTGAGATTCCTATACATAGAACTAAAACAAATTGTTGAGGGAAATTAAATAAAACCTTAAAATGGACCTACAGGTTTAATGCAATCTTAATCAAAATCCAAATTAGGTAGGGGAGGGGAGTTTTAAATTGACTATATCAGATTTTAAAATGTGTAGTGAAATTCAAAAACCAAGAATAGCCAAGAGAATACTGAATATAAAAATAAAGTAAAATGCAAGGACTTAGGCTACTATATATCAAGAATTATTATAAAGCTACAATAAATAAGACAGAATGATCTTGGAATAGATTAATAGAGCCATAGAATAGAATTGCAAGTCTAGAAACAGACTCATACTTATATGAACACTTGATTTATGACATACATGACACTGTAGTGATTTTTTTCAATGTACAGTGCTGAAACAATTGGCCACTGACTTTTTTTTAAAGGAATTTTGATCATACCTCCTGCTGTACAAACAGTAAATCAAAGTGAAATGTAGATTACATATGAAAAGTAAAAAATAAAATAGAATAAAATTAAGCTTCTAAAAATGAACATAGAGAAATATTGTCATATTCTCTTGACATAGGCAAATATTTCTTACACGTGACACAAAAAACCACTACCCCAAAGGAAGACTGATAAACTGAAATTCATTAAAATTAATGGCCACCAAAAGACAAAATTAAGAGAGCAAAGACAGTTTCAGAGTTGGAAAAGCTACTTCTAATACATATCTAACAAAGGACTTATATCTAACTCTTGCAAATGAATAAGAAAAGGATGGACACATTAAAAAAATGGACCTACGATAAATATAGGAACTTCATAAAAGAGGATTTCCAAAAGGCCAATAAATATATACAAAATTGCTTAACAGGTAGATATCAGGCAGTTATAGGTCAAAACTACAATGAGATACTACATGTATCGTTTGCAAGGGCTGCTGTAACAAAGTACCAAAAATGGGAAGCTTAAACAACAGAAATTTATCGTCTCAAAGTTCTGGAGGCTAGATTAAGTTATCAGTGGGGTTGGTTCCTCTTGGGCGCTGTGAAGAAAAATCAGTTCCATGCCTCTCCCCTACCTTCTGGTGGTTTGCTGACAATCTTGTTGTTGTTGGACTTGTAGAAGCATCATCCTGACCTTTGTCTTCATCTTCACGTGGTATTCTCCCTGTGTGCATATCTTATTTCCAAATTTCTCATTTTAAGAAGGAAACCAGTCGTATTGGATTAGGACCCATACCAATAACCTCATTTTACCTTGGTTACTTCCATAAAGACTGTATCTCCAAATAAGAAAACATTCTGAGATATTCCAAGATACTGGGGATTAGAACTTCAACATATGCATCTTGAGGGGAGGCAATTCAACCCATAAGAACACAGATTTACCATAATGTCTAAAAACAAGAAAAAAAACAAAACGTGAAAAAATGCAAAGTATTGGTAAAGATACCGATTTTCATACACTGTTACTAGGGTTTAAATTGTGAGAGTGGAATTTATTTAGCAGTAGATACTAATGTTAAATGTGTGTATGAAACATGACTCACCAATTCCATTCCTTGTTAATTACTCAACAACAATGTGTATATATGCAACAAAATACATATATAAGAATGTTCAAAGCAGCACTATCCTTAGTAATGCATAGTGGAATCCACCCAAAGGTCTGTCCACATAGAATGGATAAATGTTGACATAATCATACATTGGGATACTAAATAGCAATGGAAATAAACCAGCCTCTGCTATTTGCCATAGCATGGATGAATCCCATACTGAGTGAAAGGCACAGACACAAAAGTACATATTGTATGATTTCATTTATAAAAAAGCTAAAAAAAACAGGCAAAACTAATCTTTGGTAAGGATAGTGACTGAGAAAGGACATAAGGTGACCTGTGTGGGGCTAAGGTGTTACTTTATTGCTTTAATGTTATACACAAGAAAACCTAACTTGGTTATAAATGGATGCAGTAGGACAAATTAGTAATGCTTTTGAAAAACGTAAACAATACATAAACACTCTCCCCCCCGACAAACACACACAAAATACTACCCTGATTTTTGCAGATAACTTAAATGGGGGAAAATACAGCTGAAGTTGAAGAACATCCCTCAAAGTATTCTTTATGCTTTTTCTTGAAGAGGTATAAATTTCATACAGAAAGAAAAGAAAATTAACAGGAAAACTTTTACTGTAATAGGTAATTATGGGTTTCATTTCCCTTTCTACAGGATTAGAAAAAAAGGTGTTAATTTTTTTCTCATTTCCCTGTACATTTCTTAAAATTCTTTCTTTTCTATGGAATATTCTTGTCCTTCTAACAATCTTACTGATTTTTATGTAGCATTCTGTCAACTCATAATGGGAAGAAATGAAAGAAAATAATGATATAATATACTTTGATATGTTTTGGTCTAAAAAAAGGCATATATGATGTTTCTCTGTAAAGATTTTAGGTTTAGAAAATAAAATTCAAATTGCTTTGTACTCCAATAAAATATTACTTTTCAACCTAAAAGGAAAAACAACAGTGACTTCATTGAATGTTTGATTTTTGCATTACTGTCTGAAAAATAATGAATTGACAGAATAGTAGGGTAAGTATCAAACTACTGGGCCCCTGTTCTGTTCTCTGATTTATTGCTTCAAATGAAAAAAAACGTCTCTTCTACTCTATATGCGGTATTTAAGTAATGGTTAAAAAACATTCTGATGAAGAACCATATTAAATTCTCATTTTGCTGTCTTTACTGAAGAACTGTGTATAGAGACACAAAGAAGAAATGTCCCCATCTGGTGGTAAAAACATTGAACTTTGGACAGATACCTAGAGCCCGAGAGTGGAAACGAGAAACACTTGGAGACATTGTGTTCCATGTGATGAAAGTGCTCTCGTTTCAGTGATAACAAACACTCTTAAAATGACCACTTTTTTCTAGGCTAAAAGTAGAAAAGGTTAGTTATTAGAACAGTAAATATTAGAACTGCAACCCAAGGGGGCCAAGGGCATTAGGGAGTGAAGAAAGAAATAGCATAAATGCGGACCTGGCCAGCTGCCTGTGGCTCATTTCAGCCAGCAGTTTTGTTTATTATGCAAAATACTGCAGCCTAAAACGATGCGCCTCTTTTCCTAGATGTGTTGGTGTGGAGCAATGATCGAGTTATTCGCTGGATACAAGCAATCGGACTTCGAGAATATGCGAATAATATTCTTGAAAGCGGTGTGCATGGCTCACTTATAGCCCTGGATGAGAACTTTGACTACAGCAGCTTAGCTTTATTACTACAGATTCCAACCCAGAACACCCAGGCAAGCCCCTTTGTTCTGTAGTTGCACTGTCCTAGTTTATATAACAGCAAACTAAACTTTTAGGAAAAGAAAAATTGACTTTGTATTCATGATTCCTTACGAGAATTAGTTCAACCTTTGAAATACGTCACTAGGGCTTTAATTTCAAGCTACTGGATTTCTAGCCAAAACAAAATCATAAAATTAAGCAGGAAGACACTTAGACATTATGTGGTCCACCCTCCCACATGAATGCCAGATTCCCCTAAACAATATCCCTGACAGATGGCCTTCAGTCTCTGCCTCTCTGAGAGGCAGCCATTTCTATTTACATGTCTGAATTATACAGACACTTAGCATTGAGTATGCCATTGATTCCAAAATCTAGACAATTATTTGAATCACCAGGGCTCCTTAAAAATTTAAAATAAAACCTGCAACCTACATCACAGGCCTAAGAAATGAGATATCAAGAAACAAGGTACAGGAATCCTAATTATCTAGTTTCCCCAAATGATGATCATTGGTCAGGTTTAACTACCTGCTTAGAGTGGATAAAAATTTGGCAGTCTAACTTCACTCTTTATTTTGTTTTTATATATCTCAAAGTTTGTATAAAATATTCACTTAGAATAAGGTCATAAAGAGAGGTCAAAGCCCCTTGACCTCAGACATTTATGTGAGGCTTTCTCTCTGCTGTCCACAGACTATAGAAAATTGCCCTACCTTGTCCTTATAGCTAAAATTTACAATGGCTTGTAGACTTGGAGAACTAAAAACTTAAGACCCCATAAATAAAACAGGGTTTGTAATGCTTTCTCAGATAAATATAAGGTCTATGATTTTTAAAATGAAATGTGACTTCAGTGACAGTAACTGTAATTTGATATCAACAGGCAAGACAGATTCTTGAAAGGGAATACAATAACCTCCTGGCTCTAGGGACTGAACGGCGACTGGATGAAGTAAGTCCTTATCTCTCATGCAAAAGGGAGCCTAGCAAATACAAAACAGCTTTCAAGGAATGTGCTCAGAAATAAATCAGATGTTTGTTCTATTGATAGAATCTAGAATTTTCCCCAGTATTGTTCTTAAATATTAAATTCTATTACTCACTTGATTTCTGAAAGAACTTTATGAATTACTATTATCATATCTGCAGTTAGAAATGATTAGAAGTAATTCAAAAACAGACTTTTTTATGATCCCTGACTACAAAATAATGTTGAGCAACATTTTTTTAAAAAATTATAAGCAATGATAACACTAATCCCGATAAATTCAGTTTTTTAATAAGAAATGTGCTTATTTTTTAAATATCAGTATATCTTCACAGGAAATTTTAGGATATTAAAATGAAGAGAAAACATGCTTTCAATCAATAGGAAGCTTTTCATTATTTTAGATATCATTATTGAGTTTTCCCTAAAAACAGATGAATAACATTTTAACAGTCATAGAATTTGAAAGCTACATTGAAAGTAAGAATCTTTAGACATAATCTATGCATATTTAAATAATTTGGAAAATAATAAACATCAAAGTGGCCTCCTGAGATGAAGGAATACAAGGGATGTTAGCAACCTCTGGGCTTTGATAGACACTGTGGACTCTAATCGTCCTTCTGAGTTTTTACAAGGCCTTTCTGGAAGAAAAGGGAAAGGAACTGAGTATGAAGTAGAAAATACAGAGATGTATAATTCTGTATTGCAAACTGCAGCTGTTTCTTGGCTATAAAGAAAAGCTGATTAAAAGGTTTTGTGAATGAACTCAGCAAATCCTAAAATGAGGCAGTAATTCCACATTCAAATGGGCAGGGCAGATGATCTTCATGTTATAAAATCCTGATGTCCTTTGTGGAGGAGGTTATAGACACATCAACTCTACAGTCTTGACCTCAGCTAACTTCCTATAAATCCATACTCCTGTCCAATCAGGATAATGATTAATATTTTTAAAGCAAGTTAATACTAAACTGATTTGTGTGTGTGTGTGAGGAAGCCCAGAGCTAACACCTATTGCCAGTGTTCCTCTTTTTGCTCGAGGAAGATTGTCACTAACATCTGTGCCAATCTTTCTCTATTTTATGTGGGATGCCACCTCAGTATGGCTTGATGAGTGGTGCCAAGTCTGCACCCAGGATCCAAACCTGCGAACCCCAGTGCGCTGAGGCGGAGCGTGCAAATTTAACCACCATGCCACCAGGCTGGCCCCCTAACTGATTTTAATTTGATAAGTTGTTTGATAATCTTTTTAATCCTTATTCTTAATTGTTCAATAAAAATAATCAATATCAACCCATATACACTTTTAAATACAATTATTCTCTTTGCTTAAAAGTTGCAAAAGGAGTTTTAATAAAAATTATTAAAGACTTGTCATACTGCTACATTCTAAACTGTGGATTGGCCTGAAGGAGCTGTCCGGATAGAGACACAAGCCTCTGTGAGTCCCATGTGACCATCTACCTTCAAAATATGCTGCCTCTTTTCCTTATTATTAACAACACAGCATATGATTTTACCGTTCAAATCCTCTAGTCTCTTTTGTCCTAGTTTTTCGTTTGTTTCTGTGTTTTGTTGAGTATGAACAAAAATAGCTAAGCAACTTGCCCAGAACCAGAGGAGACTTGTTTCTGGCGCTGATCACATTCAGATTCTACTGAAATAATCTGAGAAGTGCTCATGTGCTCCTACAGCCTTTGACTTCAGTTAAGAGGGTATCTTTAGCCTCATCTCATAGAAACTTACTCCAGTGATGTCGCTTCCATTAATTGTCTGCAGTTACACTATGTTGAAAGAGCAGAAGTGAGAAATCATGATTTAAATTCTTGGTCTACTGTCTCATTTTTGAGCTCTTAACTCATACAATATTGGAGTTGTATATTCCTACAGTGTAGTGTAGTGTTCTGTAGAACTGAAGGATGTTTATGTTTATACCACAACCTCTCCAAGATTCAAGGAGTCAGGCCACAAGTGTGAAATTCTGCTTCTTTTCCACATTTATAAATGTTTGCAGGTCTAGGGCAATGTAAACTCCATCAAACATCTCTTAAACTGTAAAATGATTACTAAATATAATCAAAATTTAGATATTGATAATAAGGATTCTAAAAGAACAATGGATATATATAATTTCATAAATGATTTTAGTTTTTCCAGATTGGCTGTGAATGTTACTGAATTAAATTAGCAGTCTATGATGAAGAATACCTTATAATGTTACTCACTTGTAACAGTGATAAGTTGAACTGAGTATTGATCTATTATTCTATATGCCAAATGAAGTCACCTGAGCTGGTAGGGTCAACCACACATACTTGGCTATAACTTCAGAGAATAGACAGTCCTTCCCTAGATGAGAAACTTAGTAATATAAAAAGATAAGATCTATATGGAATGATTAATATTTTCCTTAGAATTAGATACAAAGAATAATATTAGTTAAATGCTAAATTACATACTGCTGCTTACCAATTTAAAGAAAATAATTGTATCTGTGCAGGTGCTTTGTGCATGCACAGAGAGGGGAAAGATTATATCATTACGATATAATGGAATCAGAGACCAGAATTGCATTTGTAAAACACCAACCAGAGTTACACTATGGTTTTAGTAGCATCTAAAGAGCACATGTATTTATTAAAAAGATGGTATCCAGGCTGCACAAGTTTTTCAACAAATTACAAGTTAATTTTATATTAGCTGAAATCTAATAAATGACAAATTTAGAGTTTCTTACACAAAATATAGCTATAGTATCCCATATAGCCAGGCTCTACCAAATAGTGATTTTTCCGTAACATATGTCTCTTGTAAACATAAAATTCATGCAATAGTTATTCACGTGTGTGAGTCAAATGCACTTTTTTTTAACTAAACATTCTTTTTAACTAAGTATATCATCTCATACCATAAAAGCAGTTGGCATAAAGTGCAACAAAGTATATCTAACATTCTTTTCAGAAAAACTTTGGGATTTTACTTTTGGGTTTTCAAAGATGTCTACTCTTATAGATGACAAATCTTAGATTTGAAATCATAGGAAAATTTTTATAAAAAACATTTCTGTATGAAATCTCCTGCATGCTCTTTGTGGAATCAATAGAATTCTCAAAATAAAGCATAATATTCCAGGTTATGGAATATTGTGGATATTATGGAATATTATGGAATACTTTACAGACAATGTAAATAATCAATGTCACATGTTTCTAAGCACACAGTGTTAAGCATAGACTAGTTTACTTGTTTTCATTACATCGAATTATAACTCTGTACTGGCAGAGTGATGACAAGAATTTCAGGCGTGGGTCGACCTGGAGAAGGCAGTTTCCTCCCCGTGAAGTACATGGAATCAGCATGATGCCTGGGTCCTCAGAAACATTACCGGCTGGATTTAGGTTAACCACAACATCTGGGCAGTCAAGGAAAATGGCAACGGATGGTACAGTGGTTTTGCATTTCTGCTTATAAAGTAAAAAGCTTGTTCAGCAAATGCTAATGTCCTTCTCTGACCTTGCATTCCTTTCTGAAATGGATTCTTTTCTTGTGTTTTGCTCTGCTTGAAGTTTACTTTGCTTTCATCAGACCAGACTCTTTTGTACACTGCTAATGCATGAACTCATGGCACTCTATTCACATTTAAAAATAATTTATAATATCCTCAAAAGGACAATTTTGGCTAATGTCCACATCTAGGAAGAACAATAAGCATTTGCATGACTTGTGTTTCTTTACTCTTCCATTCCCGAAGTACATAATTTATTTAGTTAGAGGTTGGATTTGGACTAAAGGTCCTTAGTAAATGGAAATTAACTCCACTGTCACCATACATGTTTGAATATTGCAAGTTTTGTATTTCATCTTAGAAACTCAAATTCATCAGATATTTTTACCTCTGACCAAGGCAGAAGGCCTTAAATAAACAAGCACAACCATGAGAAGAGAATTAAACAAACACAAAACCAATAGTAATTTCCCAATCAGTATTTCCTTCTGTGGACATTAGACTCGTGTTATACTTCACAAAGGAAAACAGCCCTTCTGGAGGGGAGACAACTTTGACATAGTAGTCACAAAGTTATTTCTGTTTGTTAGGCATTAAAAAAATAGTCCCACTCTTTTATTAAGACGATCACCTAGAATCATTATTTCTTTTCAAGGTTATAGCTATCATGACTCTTAAAATTAGTTCCAGTATAAACCATGATCTTTGATCTATGTTTCTCCTAACTTGTTAATATTATGGAACATGTTAGCAAAATTCATGAGGAATTTAACATGATGAAGATTAGTGTAGAAGCTCTTCAATACTTGGAGGGGAAAGAAATGCACCACAGCGAATTCTCTAAGAGCAACCTTTGCTTTCAAAAACAGAAGCACCCTGGGGAGCTGCTCTCATTACAGATTACATCTAAGGAGGAATACACAACAACTGGAAAGCTCAGCTGAATCACAATGGAATAAATTTTCATTAGTAACTTGGTCTAGAGAAAAGGAGTATGAGTGGCTTATATCCGAGAGAAAGAAGGTTCAATATCTTCAGGATCCCTTTTTGCAGGGAAAAGAAATCTTTCTCATCTGAAACTTTGTACTCAATCATCTCAGTCCCTCTAAAGCCCTTTTCTCCATTTGCAGTTGCTTCATCAAGACTGCAGAGGTTAGACAACTCCACTGTTCGCACATACTCATGTTGACAAGCCACTCAAAGGAGGCAGCACTGACTTGCTGTGAGTAGTTTTCCTTGGCTGACAAAAAAGAAACCATCAAAAAAAGGGAAGCTACATAGCCTAGTAAATATACATGATACGCCAGTATGGCCTAGCAGTACAGAAGTGAGATAAACCCTTCGAATTGCTAGAGGGTGGAGAAGGAGTTCTCATCCTGTAAGAGGATCTAAGATGTCCTATCACTGTTTGTCTGCTCTGCTTTAAGGTCTGTCTGTTGGAGGCCTGTCATTATCTTATTACCTACCAATGGGATGCTACCATATGGTCTTCTACTTTTTAGTAGCATTTTATATTGACACACATGGCATTTTATTGATGAGAGTTTGGCACTTACAGAATGACCCACTTTTAAGTGAGTATTTTACATAGGAGAAGCTGAAATAGGCAGAAAGTGATTCTAGTAGGTACACAAATAGTGGCAGAGACAGGAAAAGGATTTGGAGGTGATTTCATATTAAAAACCAAAGTATAAGTAGTGTTTTTAACTCTTGGTATGTTTTCATCAATGTGATTTATATTTGAAAACAAATATGAATTTTAAGTATCTGGGGCTTATAGCGTGTGAACAAAGTGAAATTACTTTATAAGAATGGCAGACAGGACTAACAAGAAACCTTGATATATAATCATAAGATATAAGGCATTTGTATTTAGAGAAATTCTAGTTGATGGAATCTATTTCCAAATCCATATAAAAATGGAGTTTTCTTGAAAAAGTCTTAGAAAACTGTGGTTTCCTAGATTATAAATGTCAAGTGCTCATAAATCTTTTTCTCACCTAAAACCATGCTTTAAAACCAAGATATTCTACCATTTACAATAAATATTTTGGAAAAAAACTTTCTCTAGCAATATTTAGAACCAAATGTATGCACAGGCATGGGGAGAGGAAGTAGTTATAGGCAGAGGAACAGCTCATCTTGTGCTGTTTATTCATTGCCTTGAACTAAAAGCTCCACGCAATTTATAGTCGGTCTTTGGGGCCTATTATGGGAGCTGGTATGCTGCCTTATTTGGGTCACTATTTGAAGCTGCTGCTGATAAAACAAAAAGCTTTCAGATAAGAGATTTAATTTCAGAATGTAAAGCTCTAACATTAAAAATTTAATTATGGTATACAATTTGTCATCTAATTAGGCATGATCTAAAGTATATAATAATTTGGCTAAATAAGAGGCTTTCCAAAATACCGTTTGTAATAGCTTCTACACATAACATGATAATTTCCCCAGGAACTGAATACTTCACTAATTTGCAAATGACTATTTAATATGTTGAGTAGTGCTTGCTTCTTAGCTCTTAACTGATGGATAGAATTGCTCTTTAACTATTTGCAATCTATATTTTGTGCATGGCTTTCTAGTTCATATTTCATAGTTTTACCATTAAATGGGAAAAGTTATTTATTTACAATAAATAATCCAAGACAGCCAATTTTTATTTTGATGAAACATTAACACTTTGGTTACTAAAATAATTCAGAACATATTATTTATTATTTTTGTGTCAGGAATAGTCATTGTGAGCTTTTCCTAAATATATTATGACTGGAAGAATATGATGCCACATCACTGACCCAGATTCTTTAAAATGTTATTTTTCATCATTATGTTTTTGTCACAATTTAAAAAGGTATCTTTTTAAGAGCTCTAAAATGTATGAACTAGAATATAAATCTATTCCATGGAATAGGTCAACTCAACCCAATTTCTTAATGAGCAACTGTAAATTTTTCAAAAGGACAGCTGACATTTTCTATGAGTACCTTTGTTTATACTATGGCCATACTTTCCACAAAGTTGAGCAAATCTTATTATTAATTAAATTTGCCTGCACAAAATTAGAGAAGAGCAAATGTTAATCACATCCAGCTATTGGTTAGATCCTAGATGACCCTATTCATTCTCTCTTAGGACAGAAGTAGGAAAGCTGCATGGAAGTGCACCAAGAGTAGCAAAGGAGGATTTTCCAGGCTGGGACCTTTCAGTAACTAACTGTCCATTAAATATTTTAGATGTCGTCTTTTCAGTCTACTCTACCTAAAGTGCACTACCATCTAAGAAGACAAGCAGTGAAAACCTTTGTGAAGACTGAATTCTAAGGAAGTAACCACAAGTCCTGCTTTATTAAGCTGAAAATGTGATTTTGGGGGGAGTCAGATATTAAGTTTGATTAGTTTACTACAATTGTAAGAAACTGCTTAAGTCATTTGAATAATAAGCATCATCCACATCATAAATTCTGTACAAGAGATGCTTTTATGAAATGGAGCCACTTGTTTTTTCATGTTTTATTGTAATATAATAGGCATTTATGTATTACTGTGTATGTATTTCTTTTTAAATGTGTAAGTCTTATGTAAATGGATATAAATATGATTTTTTAAAAAATAAAATATATGGTTCATGAAGTCTTGAGTGCAAACATTTGACAATTCCAAGTACTGTTTGTATTTTACCATTCCACCATTTTTACAGTTTTTGAATTGTAACAGTCAAATCAATATGTTTCCTGGAAGCATGTTCATGCTTCCACGTTTCTCCTTCAAGTCTGTCAATACTTAAAGCTGAAAACCTGCCTCTGATCATGTAAAAAGGAAAGATTTAACCTGGAACTGGAGCCAAAAATAGACCTTTAAAGGCAATCAGGGATGTCCTATATCTTTAGAAATAGCACTGTGATGGCTTGATTTCCTTTTCAGTACAAAACAAAGCCAAACTGTTTACAAGAATCAAAAACAATTATTTAAAAAAATTTATAAAAAAAGATGCATTATCTTCTCTTGTTACTTGTGGACCAAGAAAAAAAAAACAAAAAAACCCACTTCTTTCCTAAGAACCACATGTTCATTCAAGTATCTTGAACCGCCAGCGAGCACTGTTCAGTGAATGTCAACCACTGCAGTCTGAGGCTCATTTCCACTGAAAAGAACACAACCCCAGAAACCCTTCCGTTCTGTCAATGTAACAGGGCATTAGCGGGACTCACGCCTAATGTTATAAGCTTCTAGCCGAGATGGCCTTGTTGTGACTTCCCTGAAGTCAGTCTTATCAGAGGAAATAAATGAAAGACAGAATGATTAATATATATAGTGTATAAAAGTATAGAAAAGTAATCTCTTCCCTGTGGCTTTATTTGGTGGTGTTTATTGTTGTTTATTCTTTGTTTATATGGGAGATTTCAAAGTAAAACCTATTTAATAATACCATTAATCTAACTGCTGATTTTCTGCTGCTTGATCTTATTAAGCGCAAGACCTGTCATTAGTAATTTCTTTTTTGTATTTAATTTGCTATGTTTGCACGTACATTACATTTGTTTTGATGTCTATTTTTGTTAACAGATTCAGTCAAAAGGTAATGGTAACAGCTACCCTTTCCATTGTCAATAAAAAAAAAATACTTCCAGTTCTCTGTTTAAGCTTTGTTTTCTAGTCACATAAAGTTTAACAATTTATTTAAACTATAATGAAGATCGTTCTTTAAGTGACTGTCAATCTAATATCTACCTTCAAAAGTGAGTCTGCCACAAGAGGGAGTACTAAACTTTCTTATGAGAGTGATTTTAAATTTTCTAAAAATGTGGTCTGAGCAGAAATAATGGGAAAGAACTTTCTAAGCTCATCTGAATCTGGGGATCTTGACTTACAGAAATGAAATATAATATAGAAACTATGGTTGTGATAATATAAACTAGATTTATATCAACTCTTATTCACAACTTAATCACATAATCAGTTCCTTCCCTGTAGAGATCAGTAAGAAATATTAATAATTCATAATAGACTTTAATATAGAGAGAGAAACAAGATCCAGCTACTTGCTTCAAAAAAAGCACAAAATATTCTTCAATGTGTAAGATAATTGCTGCCAAATTCTAAAATCCATTTAATGGATTAAGCTCAGAATCTCAATGTTCATCGTTTTGACCATGTATCTACATTATGAATTTTTACATTTTTAATGATCAGAGCCTTTTCAAATATACTTTTATATAAATAAAACTGCCTTTTAAATGTAAAGCAGGTCTCATCTGCATATATTTGGTATATTCTCATGAGCAAAATATCTCAAGTAATTGGAAAACTCTTTTCTATAGATTTTAAAAGACAATCTTTATATTTTAATTTTCCCAGTGTTTTACAGTAAAAAATTCTATGAAAATACCAAAAGAAGATGATGTAGAATTTATTTCAGTAAATTTAAGTATGACTGTATTTTCTGGTAGCATTATATTGTTATTTTTAAAGATATATTTAACCCAGAAGATTTTAGGTACTATCTAGTGAAAGTGCTTTATGGTAAGTATTAAAATAGAAAATTCTTTTTTTTTCTGTTTCCTCTCAAGTTTTAAGCAATCTAATGACTCGAGTGTATCCTTCTTGCCCCACTTTTAGTCACATGAAAGTAACAGTACTTCCTCTGACTCTGCAAGGGAGATACCAAAAAAAGCCACGTCCCCCATCTCATGCACTGTTTTACAGTCCCACTCAACCAGAAAATAACTCAAGCCTGCTTGCTGAAGTGTCCTTTCAGATTTGATTCCCAGGAAGAATGTGCAAGAGGACCAAAGATGTAACCTTTATACAATTCCTGCATCTGCCTGAGTTTGTACCTTGCAAATGAACAATGATATACATTTAGCTAAAGAATTTGCCATTTCAAATTAACTGAATCTTATATGAAAAAATAAGGTAATACATTTTAATGCTAAGACATTAAAAATGGATTATTTGTTAAGATTACAGTTGTGATAATGGATGAAATGTATGCAATAGAAGAAGAGACAATTCAAGGAACCCAAGAGCTTCAAATTATAAATTGAATGTCTATCTAATTGGTTTAATTCAGGCTACTAAAATAATTGAAGAGAATAAGTAGATGAATATATTTTTTCAAGTGTAACAACCAAGAAACCAATTAAAGCAAATAGGAATTTATTTTGAGAAGCCATTTATTTTATAGTGTACAATCTAAAAAAAGCTAAAAGTTTCAAAATGTTTTTATACAGATTGGAAGCAATTTTTATGAAACAATCAAGTAAATAAACTCTTATCTATTATCTCTCACATATGTTTCATATATCCAGACTATTCTGTTAGAAGAGCTACTCTTAATAATAATGTTCCTGATGGACTAAAAGCTTGAGAAATAATTTGGAACCATCAAAGACTCACTGGACATGGTGTATTTTTGTGTTTAAATGTATTCTTTGATAGCTGATGTCATGTAGAACTCTAAGTAAACCAAATATTTAATTATCTTTATCTACTTAGTCTGATTAATCAGTATATTACCATAAGCTTATTAACAAAGACTCAATTTCAATTTTTTTTAAATGCTCAATAGTTTTATAGAAGCTTAAATGGAAAGATGTGTTTGGACATCACAATATACTTTTTAGTGAGTCATTATTTTAAAATTAGAGATTTCACATAAAAATCTGGATCTTTTGTTTCTTCTAAAACTCAGAGGTTCTTGCAGCAGGGGTCCTGTCTCCCCCTGAATCATTTCTGCTGGGCCTGAGTAGGGGCTACCCCATTAGATGGAGCAAGAACTCTGCAGTCGTCACCATTCCCTACTGTCCCTCAGATATTCAGGCTAAGTGGCTCAAATCCACTCCAGAAGTTCATTGACATTATATCACTCGCCTGGTCTGTGAAGGCCTCCCAGCATAATGTAAAAAATTTTACATTTCTTCTTTAGGAGATTTCCTTCCTAGTCTTCCCCATTTCTACATCATATTCTTGTGTCCATAGGAAGCTGGAATCATCGAGTACACAGTCTGAGACATGAGGAGGGGCTCCCAAAGCCCTCGTCTCCCTGATGAAGAGACTGGATTAAATGACCACCAGGCTCTCTGCCAGGCAACAAACGACCTAAAGGCAGAGCTGTGGCCTGATGTCCAGCCTTCTCTCAGGACTAGACAGGCCTTCCCACCTAGAAAAGCATCTGTCGAGATGATTACCTAAAACTTCCCATTTTATCCACTTGATTTAAAATACACTTGCATGTGGCATCTCAAGAATATTTGAAAATATTCAGAATTCCTATAAGAAAAATTGTAATTCTTTTCTGACTTCAACTTGAGTTTTAGGCTTTGGGTCAAAGCTGTAGATCCCTAATTTCAGGAAGTGGCTCCATATTAGTGTTACTTTGAATTAAAATGGTTTTCTGGGGGTACAATTTTTAAAAATCATTCATTAGATATGTTTTTCTTAAAGTGCTGGACAACCTATAAGGAGTCATCATACAGGGTAATAATTCAAAACGCTTGACTCCAATTAGAAAAATTGACTCAAAAGAAGAAAAATAAGTCATGATGCCTTCTTCAGTACTTCTTCTATGTGCCCAAAAAGGCTGGGGTCTTCGATTGTAGGAGTTACCTGGAGAGGAAATTACAGTCAGATGAATGCTCTTCCTTGAACCCCTCCCATTCTCTCTATAATTAAACAATTACATGCAGTGTTGTATTCCCATTATTTTATCATACTCGTGGAAATGTTCAAAAATAGGGAACTTTGAACCCAATATTTTAAAATGTAACTGTTGTCTTCCAGGGTAATAAACTTTGATGAGCAAAACTATTGGTCCTAGATGGTACTTTCTCTTTGGGGCCTCTATAGAAAGATTTCCTTTTTTTTTTTTGCATTTGCTCATACAACTGCTCTTTTCTGTTGCATCGCCTTTTATTACATCTTGATGATTAAAAATATGTATCTATGCATGCATAATGTGAACAGAAATTAAAAGAATACATATGCTTGAATTAGCCCAAAGTTTCCTAAAATAGTCTTCACTCAAAACAGGAGAAATAATTAACAAAAACCAATTAGAACTTTTTAAATATCTATAGTCAGCCTCAATTTTTTGCTTTCTCATTCACTAATAGCCATTAATGACCGCTATGAAGGGAAACATATCTTTAATTTAGTAAGATTGAGTTTCCACAAGTTTGTTTGAATTTAACTCACATTTACCAATAGTAAAATATTTTCACATACTGGTTCTTATAATCAAAGCATATGGTCTTAATTAATCTGTGTTTCTCTCCAAAACCCTCATTCCTACAGAGAGACTGGCTATGCAATTTCCTCTTTAACATTTAAAAAAAAAAGGTACTATCATGTTTTTTAGGGATACAATTCATGCTTGAGAACCATTTTTAAGAGCTTTGTTGATGCCTAAGAAATGGGGAAAAATATTTCAGAGTCCAGCATTAAACATCCTTGATAATTTACCTTATATGGCTTGCCATTGACAAGGGCAGACAGAGTCGAGCGGGGAATTTTCCCAGATCTGGTTTTGGGTAACTGTTTCACGAACACAGCTTTTCGAAAAGCAGCCACGGGGCCAATGCTCTGTCTAACTTGTTTCACAATTTCTTCCAAAACTTGTTCCTCTGTTGTATTTATACCTAGGGAGAAGGTTCAGATGGTAAGCTCTGAATTAATCTTAGTTAATCATTCACGGCCCAAACAGTTAGGGAGGGCAAAGATCTCTCACCTTGTCTCAAGACACAGAGGGCTAAAGGGACATGACCTTTCAAAGGATCTTCCTTGCCAACGACAGCGCAGTCAGCCACAGTGCCATGGGAAAGGATGGACTGTAATGAGGGCAAGCATTCATTTAGAATATATATGATATATTATACATATAATTTTAATTGGGAAAAATGTAGATGTCGGAGAATTCAAAAACCCATATAGCTGCCTGTGTGAAAATTACCGCTAAATCACAATTCGCATCATCACTACTAGGGTGAATGGTTAGGATCCCCGTGGTAGTCACTCACTAAAGGCTGACAGTAATTAAGACAAATTGCTTTGCTTACCTGGAATGTAAGGAAATCGTTTCTTCATCTCAACTGTTTATTAATGAAGTCGGGAAAAGAGCCGGTAAATACCACACGTGAAAAAATTGCAATGGGCCCCCACAAATAGGAGGCCTCACGGTGACCCGGCTTTAGTGCTGGCTACCATAAGCCCTTTGTAGAGGAAGCCAAGGCAGCCCCAGGACCAAAGCGTGATTTCATTTCTGCCTCTCTTGCTGAGCAATGAAGAGCATTTCTTTTCTTGAGTGACCCCTATCCAGAGAAGATTTTCCAAGACTTGGAAGAAGAGGCTGGACATCAGATAATCACCACAGTCCAGCAACCTTTCTCATATCGTTCACACTAAGTTCTAAATGCCCTAAAGAGCGAAGAAGCTGTTTATCTGGAATCACAAGACCCCAGAGATAAGGAACCACAGGAGATCCAGAAGCTTAGGGACGAAAAAATCATTTCTGCTGTGACAAGACTTTTAAAAAGGCATGTTCCAAAAGTCCTTTTCTGAGAGATTAATGCATATTTCACTGACTCCAAACCTCTAAAGACTAGAAAAAACGGTGAGCAAACTTTTAACCAACAGCTTGTGTGGTAGTCTTGATTCGTTCTTCTATTCACTCATTCAACAAATATTTACTACATAGCTCCTATGTTCCAAACACTGCTTTAGCCTCAGTGGTGAGCAAAAATAGTCTGAGTACTGTCTCATGGTGCTTACTGTCTAGTAGGGGAAAGCAATATTAATAAATAATCATGCATATTTAATTATTAGGAATGCCTAAATATGAAAGTGGGAAGTAACAGTTTTTTATAGGAGAGATATAGCAAAGGCAACCAACTTGGCAATAGGATATGCGTCTCAAGGAAGCCCTCCCTTAGGAAATGACAAGGAGGTCAGGCCTAAAGGATGAGTTAACATTGGTTAGACAAGGAGGAGGGGTGAGGCAAAAGCCTTGTGGAAGACTGAGCATGCACCATTCGAACCTGAAAGAGACCAATGTGGCTGGAAAGCAGAGAGTGAGAGTGAGAATGGTGAAAGGGGAAATGAAGCTGCAGAGGTAGACTAAGGACATCCAGTGATCATTTTAGTAGCCTTGGGAAGGTAATAAAGCACTTTCAGGAGGAAAGAAGGAGAGGCAAGATCAGAATGCATACTTTAATAAACTTTATTTTTTAGAGTAGTTTTAGACTCACAGCAAAGTGGAATGGAAAGTACAGAGCTCCCATATACACACAGCCTCCCCACTGTCCAACCCTCACCACAGTGTTATATATGTTACAACTGATGAGCCAACATTGACACATCATTATCACCCTAGTCTATAGTTTACATTAGAGTTCACGCTTAGTGTTGTACGTGCTATGGGTTTTATGATACGTAGCCATGATTATGGTGTTTTAGAGAATAGTTTCACTGCCCTAAAAATTTCCTGTGCTTTGCCTATTCATCCCTCACTTTCCACTCATCCCTGGCAACCATTAGTCTTTCTACTGTCTCCAGAGTCCTTTTCCAGAATGTCCTATAGTTGGAATCATACAGTACATAGCCTTTTCATATTGGCTTCTTTCATTTTAGAGTGCATTTTGAAAGACACAAACTTACCTAGGTTTCATTGTGAAGAATAAACAGAGGATTGTTGGGGGGGTGTCACAGTTTATGCAGGGAAACCACCTGAGAGGCACCTGTAGTAGACTAAAGTCATAGTAGTGCGTGTCAGGATTCTAGAGTTTCCTTAGAGGAAAAATGGACAAAATTTGATGATAAGTTGGATATGCAGCAAGAAGAAGGCAGAGGGGTTAGGATGATTCTGTGGCTTTCGGACTGAGCAGCTGGTTAGATAGTGGTGCCATTTTCTAAGCCAGAAAATGCTAGTGAGGGCCAGGCTTGGGAGGAAAGAATCTGGATTAAGTCTTGAAGATAGTCCATTGCAGTGCCTTCCAGACATCCGAGTGGAGGCAGCTGGATCTGAGGAGAGTCTTAATTTAGAGAAGAGTATTTGAATGTCATTAATATATAGATGGTAATGAAAGTTATGGACATGGATGAGATTATTTAGCAAGAAGGTAGTGAGAAGAAAAGGTGAAAGCCTTAAGGAACTCCAACATCTAATGCCATATGAAAAATGAAAAGCTAACAAACTAAAAAGGCACAGGGAGAAAGAGAGGAGAAAAACCAAGAAAATCTGGGACGTGCCACCTTCAAGTCCAAAACTTTCCATGAAGGATTTCTTTTTTTCTTTGAATGAAGCCAAGTGGAAAATGAGCTTTCCCTTCTCTGTACTCCTAGAAGACCCAAGGAATCACCAGAATGTTTGGTACAAAACCAGTGTACTACCTCACACTGCTCCTAATTAAACATCTAAGTCAACGTTTCTCCTATATCCAATTGTTAGCGTCTGCTTTGAAGTATTCAGTTCTAAGGGTTGACATCCGCATGGTTTTTGACGCCTACAGTGCTGAGGATAGTACACATTAAATAAATGATTTTTGCACTATGTGTTTTATTAGCTTCATTGCTGAGGTAAAGATGTCCATGCCCTTTTTCCACTAGTTGGGCCTGACTAAGAAGCTTCTGCAAAACACGTACTATATAGACCATGAAACACCACCTTCCCCCACTGCTTCAGTTTGAACTCTCAAAATGCTTCCAACTGCTTCCCCATTGTTAAGGTCTTATTTACTTTTTAGGTCCATATGTTGAGAGCAGAGACAAATTTTATTGCCAGAGATTTGTTTTGGTAATTGGTATAGTCAGTCACCAGTCCATGGAGGAGCATATTTTGTCTATAACAGATAGAATATAAACTTGGTAGGCTCAATCCTTTAATTTTGACTTAGTATTCCCTTAATGAGTAGGTAAAAATACTTTTTCCTGGCTACCCAGAGTTTTAATCGTCAAAAAAGCATTTATTAAAGTGTTCACTGGTGCCATAAACCTCTATACCTGAGGTTTTTAAATGCTAAGGTATCTGCTTAAATCACTGTAAAAAAAAAATCAATCATCCAGATATTTTGTCACCTAACCAGTATGACTGTAATTTTAACTAAACTGAATGTCAAAACTTATAGTTTGCCATTCGTTCACCTTGTCGTTTTAATTTCACCATGTTTCCATCCTCAGTCTTAGTGCTTTTAGAAGGAGATGGGAAAATGTTGACTGGTTTTCTGTAAGGGCAGGGAGAATTTTAAAATCAGAAGATGCCTATAATATCAAAGGTTCTCATGTTTGCCAAGTGTGGACAAATTCTTACGAATCTGTGAGAAACATAATCATTTTCCAGAAGTCTGTGACATCTATAAATCAGGTTCATTATTATAGTGGGTAAAATATTATATTCATCTATCAGTGTTAAAAAGATGCCATAAAGGAAGGGAGGCAGGCAGCTTTCTACGTTGGCCCCACAAACAATATTTGCATGCCAAATAATGAGTTCAACAACTGAATCATTGCAAAGGAAAGCATCAGAATGTGTCTTGGCAACATTTGAGGGACAGAAGCCAACCGAATGTCCTGTGGGGCAAAAAAAACCAAAAGCCACATTCACATATTCCCTCTATATAAAATCCACAAAGTATCTGAGCTTAAGTGGCATTTAAGTACCCCAAAGAGTGATACAACTTAAAAGGTAAGTGTCACCAAAAGTGAGAATAAACGTTATAATAATAGGCCTGGTAATTGCCTATCATTCATTTTTGGGGGGTACTCCCATTTTTGTGTAAACTTTAATGGATTTAAAATGTTTCAGTGCTTTAGTGGACTAAATTACACAGGCTTCCCAATTATGATTTTAAGCATTGTAATTTTGGAAAAATTAGTTTAAATCAAGCACCCTCATAAGATGCAAGGAGCCACTCTGTGTGGGAAAGTGTCTTGCAGTGGGAAAAACATGAATGTTTTTTCACTTCCTCTGACATTGGAGTCATCTAGGAAACCAGCAGAAAGATTCCATATCTTCATCAATATTCATATCTGTACTCAGGAAAATACTCAACAATTTTACAACTATTTAAATCCAGTAGTCATTTAACACTGGATAGAATCAAAATTGCCTGGCATCTTTGTTGAATATGCACTTTATGGAAATATATTCAATCTCCAAGAAATCAATCCTAAAGTAGCAGACAAAATAGCCAACTTGGAAAATAAAGAGTGACACTAGGGTCAGAACAACCTTCAAAAGGGCAAATTATATGTGCGTATTGCCCTAGGCTTTAAATGCAATATTTTAACATCAGATTTACAAGTTCCCAAGGATACTAGCAGGATTAACAAACTGAAACCTAAGCTACAAATGAAAAAATAAAATCAGAGAGCCCAATTTTTTCCCTTGAGATGTCTCTGCATGAAAAGCTCTGCCTACAGCAGTGAAAGAGAACTGAGCAAGAAGGAACACATTGGCTCCTAGTAATTTGGGCTCAAATAACTAAACCAGCAGATCTCAGACACAGTTTTCTTAAGAATACCTTGAATACCAAAATGTCCCAGGTGTCTAGCTAGATGCCAGACTTTCAAAGAGTAATCAACTGTAGATATGATTGGTACTTAATAGTTACAGAAGGCCCCCACTTGTGCTGGCATCTGCAAGAACAAGGTCCTCTTAAATTTACTAAAAGCTACTCTAGGACTCGATTTTCTTATGACGAGAGCGGAAAAGAATAGAGTTTCCTGAAATGTTTTTCATGCAGTAATTTTAATAGAATTTCTTTTTGATTTAGTGTTATGTAAGGTAAACACTTGTGAAATTTTACTTTGAGAAACTGGAAAGGCACAGATATTT